TGTGGGCGCTGTTGGTTGTTATTGTTGCTCAGTGTTTAGGGGTTTTCCTGGAGTCTCTAAGGTGTGCATTCCTTGTCATGTGCAGCTATTGAATTCTCTGCTTGGTTAGCTTATGATCAGCATAGATGGCCGTTTCCTTTAATGTCTTATCCAGTAAGTCTCCCACTTGGTGCCAAGGGGCTTTATGTAGGCGGGAGCGACACTCGGTGCTCTGCCCTCACGGCTCTGCTGTGCCTTCACTGCCTGCTGGAGCAGAAGTGAAAGACCGAGACTCTCAGGCTTTCCCCGAACGTGCGCACACCCTTCACATGCACGTGCCTTCGCAGGACGTCGGAGCTTTGCAGAGCCCCTTTAGACATCTCATCACCTAGATTTTTGTTTAAGTGTTTGTGTCAGCTTCTTGTTCATTCCAACGGGTATCACCCCTTCAGGCAACTGTGAGGTTACACAATTGCCACTGAGTGTTTCAGGCAAGCACTCTGGACCAGGGGTGGGCAACCCCTGGCACGCGTGCCAAACATGGCATGCCAGTAACTTTTGCTGGCACGTGAAACCCTCTCTTATAATCTTCCATTTACAATTTTTTTCTTAATATCGACTTTTTTATTTTTCAGATAAATTCAGTGTAGGTGCATCTTAGATAAATAAATAATTTTACATAACAAGTTATCTTAAAGACCATAGACATGGATTGACGAGAGAGGGGAAGAGCAATTTCTATGCCTCTGCCTTAACTCTCCCTGCCTTCCTAGATCTGACCAGTGTTTTGGTTTCTTCCACATACGCTTGTGAATCTTTGTTCTCAGTGATGAATTTTGTTAAGTCTCGTAATAGGAGTAGCCTGACGGATGAAAGTAGTAGCTCGTGCATATCTCTGAAGGTCACAAAATATAAACCTGATGTAAAATCTCTGTCATCAGTGATGCAGCAGCAAAAGTCCCACTGATAATATCAAACGGAGTCATAAATTTTTCTGTCGGACTATCAGTGTACATGTATACATTAAAAAATAAATGTATTTTTCATCATCATCTACTGTGTTTTTGTCGCTTGAATGAATTTTATTATTTCTTCAAGGTTCTTCACATACGTACACCTTAAGAGATATCAAGTAGGCGTAACATGTTCTCAAAAAATTATGGTTGTCACGCAGAAGAATTTTGAGTCAGAGATTTTGCTGGTTTTGGCACACACTCACAAAAAGTTTGCCCACCCCTGGGCTAGACACAGGGCTTTCCCAATGAGCATGCTCTGCAGCAGGTCAAATAAAGACAAGTCCTGTGCACAAGCTTTTCCAGGGAGTTTACAGACATGTCAGATAGTGACAATCTTCTGAAAATGAGCATCTGGGGACCTTTGACCCTGCCTGTCTCCTTTGATGGCTGCTACTTTCCACAGGTACTGTGGTTGTCAGGCTTATGTTTTTGTTTTAATTTTTATTTATTTATTGATGAGAGAGGGGGAGAGGAAGGGAGGGAGAGAGAGAGAGAGAGCGAGAGTGAGAGCAAGAACGCGTGCGCGAGAGAGAAACATCGATTTGTTGTCCACCCATTTGTGCATTCATTGGTTGATCCTTGTGTATGCTCTGATCGGGGATGGAACCCGCAAACTTGGCATACTGGGACAAAGCTCTACCAACTGAGCTACCTGGCCAGGAAGGCTGATTTTTTTTAAGGGTATGGAACTGAGCAGATGGGCAAGTAAAATGTTACAAACACTGCTGTTCTTAGCAAGATTTATAATTTTTTCCTTGAATAAAGGGGTTGTTGCAAGTTTTCCATTAATTTCCATAGTTGCAGAAAGGTCCATTTTTCCTAGTTTTCTTGCTGCTTTTATAAAGGAGCAGATTTTCAGAGGTCCTTAACCCACCAATTTAGAAGTTTTCCCACTGGATTTTTAGAAAGGGTTTCTTGGGTTTAGGGTGGATAAAAAACCCTAGCGCTGAACCTGCTGATGTAAGGCTGGGAGCTGTGAGTCTGTGAGTGCCTCCATTTGTCTCCACTGATTTAGCACAGCATCAGCCAAGCAGCATTTGATCGCTTCCTCCTGGTTTCTTCCCGCATCCTCAGCCTTCATCCTTCCTTGGCCCACCAGTCCTTCTTTCCCTCTCCCTCCTCTCTGCCCTCCCCATTCCTGTCAGCAAGCATTTATTGACCATCTCCCGAGTGCCTGTGGGTCCAGCCCCAGCTCCTGCCCCAGGAGCCTCTGCTTTGGTGGAGGGGAAAGACACGTTTTCAGAGGAGACAACCACAACCAGGTTGTGCTGGGACAGAGGGAGGTGTCTGAGGCTGTCGGAGTCAGGGGAGCCCGGGGAAGCTGAGGGAGCAATGGAGGTTCTTGGGGTCAGGGGGGCATCTAGAAGGAGAAAGTATCTTGCTCAATGACCCTGGAAAGATGACCCCAGAGGGCAAGAGCAGTGCCGGGCTTCCCCAGCTGCGAATGGGCCAGTGGGGAGATGAGCATTCATTCCATTGGGACAGGCGCACACGCACTGCAGGGCCATGGAGGCATTCTCCAGGCAAAGGCCCCTCTGCCGCTCTGCCCACCCCGCGGCTGTCTGCAGGTCTGCAGGTCTGCAGCAGCGGCAGGAAGGCATCTCAGCAGACACTGTCCACCAGGCAGGCTCCCGGGACACAGGAAAAGGTCGGGTTTCACAGGGGAAGGTGCCAAAGCCAGGATGTGCATGTGTGTGAAACTGGATATAAACACCAGGCGCAGCCAAAGCTAATCAGAGGGGAACATCTGCTCGGGGCTGTTCACACCATTCTCGACAGGCAGGGGATCAGGACACCGCCTGGGAAAGGGCGGCCAGGGGCGAGGTGCTGCCCACCCCTTGCCCAACGCCGGCCTTAGACAAGACACTTCTTCCTTTGAAGCCTCAGTTTCCTTATCTGCAAAACGGGGCGAATAACAGATGCTTATCTTGTAGGGTCTGTGAGGATGACAAGACTTGGGGAACTTGAAAGGACTCAGCGCACAGTATCAGGGGCCCAGTACGTCCTTATCTTTCTGTGGCTTTTCGATGGCTGTAAACTGGAGTCATAATTCTAACGGGTTTTTGAGTAAGTTGAGTAATATTATACATTTCCCTAGGAAAAGTCACTTTGTATTCCTCACCTCCTTCCAGAATGGATGTCAGGAGCTTACAATAAAAGGCAATAAAACATTTTATGAGGACGGAAACAAGAACTGAGTGATGAAATGCGTATCTGCAGGCCCGTGGTGTGTGTGTGTGTGTGTGTGTGTGTGTGTGTGTGTGTGTGTTTATACACAAAATCTAGAGTAAAGGAAGCCATGGCAATCAAACATGAAACAGCCTTCAGCTTCTGGAAGTCAAAGCACACAGAGAAGCATGACGGCATTTCCTACCAAGGCACTCTAGCGAGTTTATCTGGGGGCCTCTATAGAAGGAACTAGATAATGCAAGCATGCAGCACAGCGGGGAGGAGGCCCACGCCCAGTGCCAGGGAGGAGTCGGAGGCTCAGAGAGAGCCTGGTCAGCTCCCCGGCCCAATCGCTGGGGGTCCCCTTGGTGGTGATCCCCTCTGGCATCACACCATGCCCTCCTGGAGAAGCTGCTGAGGGGCTGGGCATGCGCTCATGCACGCATTCACTCCTTCACTCACTGTTTGCGCATTTACATTCCCAGGGCCTGCTCTGTGCTGAAAAGTGAAGACTTTGGAGATGTGCTTGCACTAGACTTAAAGAATACTGAGCTTGGGGTGTGAGTTCGGGAAGAGGAGATGACATCCCGGGGAGGGGAGGCCAGGAGTGCAGGGTCAGAGTGGGAGGGCCTCAGACACCCATGGTGAGGCTGGAGGTGGGGACACGGGGGAGGGGTGATGAGAGCTGCAGGAGCTGTGGGTGAGGACCAAGAAGGGGGCACAGGTCTGAGATGTACTGTGAGGAGCCTGACCAGGGTTTGGTGTGGGAGAGGGGAGGGAGGGGTCCCGGATGATGCCCAGGTGTCTGCATAGGGAAGCGGAGGCTGGAGGTTTCTCCCTGCGTTGGGGAGCTGGGGAGAGCAGGCTAGTGGAGGAGCTGGTTCAGTGGGGCCAAGTCCAAACTCCAGAGGAGATAGCGTAGCTGGAGTCAGGAAGGGGGTCATTGTCAGTGTCATGGGGGTGCCGTTGCGTAGGAGTGGGAGAGAAGAGAGAAGAGGGCCAAGAGCAGATTCATGTAAGAGGCAAATGGGGTATATAGAAAAGGCCAAAAAGAAGGGGGTCAGAGATGTGGGAGGAGACACAGGCCAGAGCTGAGCTGGGAATACAGGGTGGGGACGTGGGGGTGGCCAACAGCGAGGATCAAGGAAGATAATGACGGCAAAGCATCTGCTGGCATGACCATCAGATGACGTCAGCGGAGTGACAGTGAAAAGAGACCGGAGGGGCTGGGATGAGTGGAAGGGGAGGCGGAAGAGCCAGGACAGGGTTGGTGTGTGGGTGCCTCTGAGGAAGCTTCTCTGTGTGTCTCGGGTAGGGGCTGTGCAGAGCAAGTGCGTTTGGGTGAAATGAAGATGGCAGGAGGGGAGGTATGGCGCATACAGGCAAGTCTGCAGGTCGAATGGAGAAAGGAGGAGTATCTTCCTGGTGCCTCTGCCAAGGGAAGGGCAGGCCAAGTCTGGGGAGGGACAGTGGGCACCAGGAGAACCAGGGACAGTGGGCTGGTGGGATCACCCTCAGCTCCCGCAAGGCCGGGAGGTTGTTTCAGAGTGAGACAGGGGACTGACATTTCTGAGGTTGATAATAAGATTTGGAGGGTGCCAAGGACATGGGTGGGACAGTCACTGGACCTGTGATGCCAAGAAGCCAGGGAAAGGGGTACTGGGCACTGTGGCCTCCAGGGGCAGTGGCTGGAATTGGAAGGGAGGAGACGAGCTGGCCCAGGACCCAGGGTCCTGAGTAATGAGGTGCCATGGGGACTGGTGCATACAGCTCAGTCCCTGGCCGAGGGCAGACTTCTAGGCCTGAGCTTAGGAACTAGGAGAACCTGGGACTCACCGGGATCACCTCTTCTTCCAGGCTTGCCACGCCGTCCAGGGGGCCCTAGACAGGAAAACAAGGAGAGACTCGTTGAGAAGGGAAGCCAGTGGTTTTGGGCACACCCCCCCTGCCGGTGGCCCACCCACCCACCCTGCTGGCTGACAGAGAGGAGAGGTGTGGGGAGAAACCCATCCCTCGCCCCTGCTCCTCCCAGCCTTCCCCCGCTGGTTGCGTTCTCACCCCTCACTCTCTCATTCAGTTACTAATCATCTGCTCATTTATCCACTCACAATCCCTCCGAAATAAAAAAAGATTTATCATCTGGAAACTCTTGAGGTAGAAGAGTTTGCAACTGAGAAACTTCCAAATGAGGAGAAATATAAGGCCGAGGGTGAGAGTTATCTTATGAAAGCCCTGACCAATGCTTTTTATTTTTTATTTTTTTAAAAATATATTTTATTGATTTTTTACAGAGAGGAAGGGAGAGAGATAGAAAGTTAGAAACATCGATGAGAGAGAAACATCGATCAGCTGCCTCCTGCACATCTACTGGGAATGTGCCCGCAACCAAGGTACATGCCCCTGACCGGAATCGAACCTGGCTTTGGCAACCAATGCTTTTTAATCTCCACGGCGATACAACAACAGGGACAGCACACCACATAGAGACACCATCATGGCATTTAAATGCTTGAACTCGGCAATCAGAGGCGCTATCCTACCCATCACTGTCCTGCCCGGGCTCGCCGGAACCCTCAGCACCTCCCAGCCCCGCCAGCTTGGGCAGATGCTTCTATGTATCTCGGGATTTATTGCCGAGAACGCACTTCTTTTCAGTATGCAGCTCTCCACCTACATGGCTGGAGCCTTTCTGAACTGATGATGGGAACCATCTTGCCTTTGCCTTCATCCCCTCTGCCTTCCTCATTCTTTTATTTTTTTGGGAAAGGTGTGCAGAAGATGCATGTACTAGTTTACAAATGAAATGGCACTTTATACCCGTCTCTATCTGCCCGCCCCCTGCGTGCCGGGCGCTGCGGTGGGCCCTGACGAGGTCGATGGACACAGACTGTGGCTGTATGACAAGGCACTGCCCTTTCCTGTGAAGGTCACCCCCTCCCAGATTCCCAGAACAACCACTGAGGAGAGACAGGCTGGTCATGAGTCCGGTCCGATGCAGGATGGCTGTATGTATGCACACGCCTGTGTGTTTTCCCCTTTTCCTCCTCCTGTTTTTAAGTGGAGCTCATGGTGTGCCCCTGATCCAGGGGTTGGGACGGGGCAGTAAAGCAAAAGCAGCCCAGGTCAGGGGGTCAGTGGCACTTCCGACTTTTGTTAGGGGGGAATCCTGGATGGGGAGGAGGGAGGGCCTCTGAGAACGAGTGAGAGAGACCTTTGCAGGGCAGGCTGAGGCGAGAAGGAGTTTCTGGCCAGCACTGGGGGCTTGAGATCAGGATGGTTAAGCAAAATTAAAAAATTAAAAACATGCTGTTTTCTTGCACCCCTATGTTTGTAATGAAAGAAAAGTTATTGTGGTCAAGAATGCATAACAGATTTTACTGTATTTAACCATTTCTAAGAGTGCAGTACGCTAGTGTTAGCATATGTGTTGTGCACAGGTCTCCAGAACTTTTTCATCTTGCAAAATTGGAAACTCTTTATTCATGAACAGCCCTCTCTTCCCCCTCCCCCAGCCCTCCAGAAACCACCATCCTACTTTCTGTTTCTAAGACTGTGCTTATTTTAGATATCTCAGATGAGTGGAATCTTGTAGTAACTGTCCTTTCGTGAGTGGCTCATTTCACTTAGTACAATGTACTCAAAAGTTCACCCATATTGGTAAAGTGACCATTTCCTTCTTCTTAAAGGCTCAATAAATATTCCATTTTATGTACACACCACATATTCTTCATCCTTTCATCCCATCTGGTGGTGGATACTGAGTTGCTTCCACCTCTTGGCTATTGCGGATAATGCTATAAACATGGGGGAGCAAGTATTTCTTCAAGATGCTGTTTTCAACTCTTTTGGATAAATACCCACAAGTGGGATTGCAGGGTCATCTGGAAATTCTATTTTTAATTTGTTGAGGCCGTCCTTACTGTTTTCTATAGTGGCTACACCATTTTACATGCCCACCAACAGTGTACAAGGGTTTCAACTTCTCCACATCCCCACCAACATCTGTTACTTTCTGTTTGTTTTTTTTGGATACTGGCCATCCTAATGGATGTGAGGTGATATCTCACATTGTGGTTTTAATTTGCATTTCCTTAATAATAAGTGATGTTAAATATCTTTTCATATACCTGTTGGCTATTTGTACATCTTCTTTGGAGAAATGTCTATTCAAGTCCTTTGCCCATTTTTTAATTGGATTGTTTGTTTTTATCACTGAGTTGTAGTTCTTTTTGTTTTCCTTTGGTTAATCCTCACCTGAGGATACTTTTCCCATTGACTTTTAGAGAGAGTGGAAGAGAGGGAGGGAGAGGGAGAAAGAGAGAGAAACATTGTTGTGAGACACATCGACCAGTTGCCTCCTGTACCTGACTCAACTGGGACCGGGGATTGAACCCAAAGCCCAGGCATGTGCCCTTGACCGGGAATCAAACACAGGGCCCCTTGATGCCTGGGCCAGTGCTCCAACCACTGAGCAACACTGGCCAGGGCTGTAGGAGTTCTTTGTATATTTTGGATATTAACCCCTTATTAGGTATATGGTTTGCAAATATTTTCTCTCATTCTGTAGGTTATCTTTTCATTCTATTGTTTCCTTTTCTGTACAGAAGTTTCATTTTTTAATTTTTAAAATTCTCACCCAAGCACATGATAGAAAGAAGAAAGAAGAGAGAGAAACATCGACGTGTACATGCCCCAACCAGGGTTCGAACCCACAACCCAGATATGTGCCCTGACCAGGAACTGAACTGGCAACCTTCTGGTGCACAGGACGATGCTCAATCTGTTGGAAGCTACCCACTGTCTTCACTATCAGAGAAGTGTAAACAAGGAGCCCGGAACGCTGGTGAACCTTGAGCCCTGGCAAGGGCCAGAGTTATGCATCGATTGTTTAGTTGAGACAATGGTGGCTCAAGCAATTTCCTGACCAAATAGTCTCAGAATAAATCTTTACTAATATTTACTGTCTGTAAGCAGAATTGCCTGCCTAAGGGCTATATGTGTACCCAAAATTGAATAAAAGGTTGGCAAGGCCTGGGCACCAGTGAAGTTGTTCCCCTAGAGTTGGACTCTCTGCCTGGCCCCCATTATTTCCAAATTATTATTTCTTGTCTCGTCTCTGTCATTTGTGCGCGGCCCTTCTCCAGATCCCGAACCATGAACCACATGGGATGTGGCTCACACATCAACCAACTGAGCCACTCAACTGGGCTGTGCAGAAGTTTTAAAGTTTGATGTAGCCCAATTTTTCTATTTTTGATTTTGCTGCCTTTTAAATCTTTGAGTTCTTTTGTTTATGGTGTAAGGTGAGGTCCCAATTCATTCTTTTGTCTGTGGTTATCCAGTTTTCCCAACACCATTTGTTAAGGATATTATCTTTTGTGTAGCCAGACTTGGCACCTTTGTCAGAGATGATTTGACCACGTAAGTGATGCAAACCTGAGCTCTGAGAGCACAAATCATGCTAGTTGCCATCTTTGGTTTCCCCCGATACCAGACGCAGCCCTCAAGTGTCATGCTGGAAACGCCCAGGTCCATGTTGACTTGGTAACAAGATTCTGGCACCCATAACAGACAACAGCTCATACTGAGAGGGACCTGTAGCTGATGAAGGGCCTCCAGGCCCACCACACCCGCTGAGGCCTGTGGCTCCCTTCCTCCTGGTGGACTATGGAGGCCCCTTTATTGGAACCTCTTTCCAGAACTCTGGGAGGAGAATTGTGGTCAAGTGATTTGAATCCTCCAGACCTTCAGCCTGAGCTCCCCGACGTTGCCTGGCCCCAGAGCCATGGTGGAGGTGCACTTGAATGGAAAAGTCAGGGGAGATCCCCGGATTTGAGCTTCTAAGACCAAATCATTAAAACATCTCTCCCAAATATAAATTAAAATCACAACGAGATATCACCTGTCAGAAGGGCTATCATCAATAAATCAATAAACAAGTGTTGGTGAGGCCCTAGCTGGTTTGGCTCAGTGGATAGAGCATCAGCCTGTGGACTGAAGGGTCCTGGTTTGATTCTGGTACATGCCCAGGTTGCGGGCTTGATCCCCAGTAGGGGGTGTGCAGGAGGCAGCCAATCAGTGATTCTCTCTCATCATTGACATTTCTATCTTGCCCTGTCCCTTCCTCTCTGAAATCAATAAAAAAATTATTAATAAAAAAAAAGTGTTGGTGAGGACATAGAGGAAAGGGAACCTTCATGCATTGTTGGTGAATTTGTAAATTTTCCTCTCTGAAATCAATAAAAAAAATATTATTAAAAAAAAGTGTTGGTGAGGACATAGAGAAAAGGGAATCTTCATGCATTGTTGGTGAATTTGTAAATTGATGCAGCCATTATGGTAAACAGTATAGAGGTTTACCAAATTAAAAATAGAACTGCCATAAGACCCAGCAATTCCACTTACCTAAAAAACCCAAACCACTAATTTGAAAAGATATACACATCCCTATGTTCACTGCAGCATTATTTACAATAGCCAAGATATGGAAACAACCCAAATGTCAAGCGATAGATAAATGGATAAAGAAGATGTGATACATATATACAATGGAATATTACTCAGCCATAAAAAAGAATGAAATATAACCATTTGTGACAACATGGATGGATCTAGACCATCACTTATACTAAGTGAAAGAAGTCAGACAGAGGAAGACAAATATTGTTTGCTTTCACTTCTATGTGAAAGCTAAAAAACAAAATAAACAATACAGAAACAAACTCACAGATACAGAGAAAGAAACGGATGGCTGCCAGATAGGAATGTGTTGGGTGTTGAGTGAAAAAGGTGACGGGATTAAGTAGTACAAATTGGTAGTTACAAACTATCATGGGATGTAAAATACAGCATAGGGAATATAGGCAATAGTAGTGTAATAA